TGCGGCGTGTCTAGACACCATGATCGGAAAGGTTACGTACAGCTTGAAGAAGGCGTTCGCAATCTGCAGCATGAGCACATGCGGGTGGTTATGCTCATGGCACACAAGAACACCCTCGCAGGTCCGTCTCATGCCATACTTCTCATAGTGTTCTTCGAGGCGTTTCAGGCGGGCCAGAACGGAGGGATCTTCCTCGGGTTGCGTTTCCTTGGTCCCGAAAGTATAGTTCGAGAGGGGATATAGACGAATAGTTTGTGGTTGCTGAGCGGAGAAGTCTTTGGGAGCGATGGGACTAGTCCAAGAGTAAAGGAGTCAGTATTCGTTGGTCCATGCCTGGCCCTGGAGGTCTGGAACGTACGGGCGAGAGCTCTGAATCGCCGTCGCTGTTGCGGTCGACATGGTCGGTAGATGCGCCTTCTAAATAGGGAATCTTTGAACTTCAATCGGATGAGCCAAGGCGATGTAAGTGAGTGACGAAAGAAGGGGGGTGGTGGCAGGTACAAGGATGGTAGGAGGTCGGTTGTTGTTGTTGGTGCTGGTCGCGAGGTGGATCACAGCCCGGCGGAGTTGATGCTCTCTCCGCCGCAGCTCGATCGATCAATCGATTGGCATCGGAGCTGCCCTCCGCGAAAACATTCCACCGCCCCGACCACCCTAACTTCCCAGTTGCAAACAACCCAACGGGGAGTCAACAACATCATCCATGATCTACCTCAAGTCTTCTTTCAGGGCTCGGTCGAGATATTTCAATTATGTATCATGTTTCTAATCTACATCCCATGGATTTCAACTCTATCAACCCCCTCATCCTGCGTCCCCAAAGATGTCCTGTACTCATTCCAGAATCACGCCTCAATATCAACAAGGCAGCAGAAAGTTTCTATCATCATTATAAGTGAAGTGAAGGTTGTAGCAAGTGGGTGAATCTGAAATTCAGAGGGTGCGAATTATAGCTTGGCATCAAAGTCCTCGAACTCGCTAATGTCGGTGACAGGGTTCGGGCCCGCGCTGACGTTGAGACGGGCCTTGTACTCAGGAACGTTGGTAATGTAGGTGATAGCCTCCTGGCCGAATCCATTGACCGTCTGGCCAGACTGCCCTTCGAACCTCTTGGGCTGAATGCCGATGTGCTTCAGCTCTACTCCAACGCTGCTTGCCATCGAATCCAGGGCCTGCTTGGTTTGTTGCTCTGCAAGACCCATTCCATCCAAGACGGTCTTGATGGTGTCCACGATCAGACGTTCATCGCCGCTGGACACGTCAACTTCAGCGAATGCAGCCTCCAAGCGATCCGCATCGACTGTCAATTGCGCTTTCTCCAAGAGCGTGCGCAGACGCGTCAGGAGCTGGGTCTTCTGCTGCTGGGGCGTGCTCGCGAGAGCGGTGGCTTGTGCCTTGAGATGGATGGACAGCTTGCCACGCGTGGACGATTGAGGGTTTATGAACTGATTATAGAACTGGATGAGGTCTGACTTGGTCAACGACCGCACATTGGCAGCATCCGCCTCATTCTGCACGAAATCGAAGTACTCCGATCCAATGTGGGACCAGAAGCGACTCGTCTCTGAGCCCAGGTTCTTGAGCTTTTCCAGTCTCCGGTTGATAAGACTGCGCTTGTGCCTTTCAAAGTCACTCTCCGGCATCTCCTCCAACGTCTTCTGGAACATGCTCAAGAAGTTCTCTATACGATGTTCAAGGTACCCAGCAACGCGCTCACTCTGGATAATGACGCGATAACCGATCGTAGTGGAAGAATAGCGGGCGCCGCTCCAGACAACATATCCCAATTGCTCCTTGCTCCGGAGCTGATCGAATGCAGGCTCATCAGTCATCTGGGCGAACAGCAGCAGTTTGGCCCGCAAGACCGCGTCATTGATGTCTCCAATATACAACAAATATTCGATGCCGTTGTTGACGTTGGCCGGATCTTTTAGCGTTCGCTCATAGATATATTTGGAGCCAGGAGGGATGATGACGTTGCGCCTCACGTACCACTGCGACTCGGGCAATGTACGACTCTTCAAAGTGGATTCCACCAGGTCGGTCATACGAAGTGCATCCTCCTTGTACAGGTTTCCGTGCGCCAACACCTCGATGTGGTTCTGACGGAGGATCTGAGGGAAGAAGCAAGCCACGTCTTCCACTTCGATATGTTGCAGCTCGGATGCATACTGCTCATTGAGCCAGGACCGTTCTGCGGTCAGGTAGCGAGTGTAGTCGCTCACTTGGTAGTAGGGTTGTTGGTACTCGGCGTTCTTATAGGCTCGGGTCAGGCGCTCCTTGATGATGCTGAAGCGTTCCGGCTTCACAACGAGATCGCGCATGCTCGTAAGAACCTTCTCCAAAAGCACGGACATCTTGTCATTGTATCCACCCACCGAGATGTCCAGGCCAAAGATACTAATACCCAGGGAATAGTCAAGGCCCGCCAACTCGGCGTCATAGGCGTATTCGTTGAGGGCATCGCGCACCAACTCGCAGTAGAATCTGGCCTTGACCACGTTGGCCGGAGTAGCCCACACCAGAGGATTTCGGAGTGAGATGTTGAAGGTGCCCTTGGGAACCCAGAATCGGTCATCCTTCTTGTACCACAAACGGACGTGGTCGTCATGCCGGATTAGCTTCGGTGTCTTGGCTGGTTCTGAGACTTCCTTCTTCTCGACGGAGAGACGAGTCGGAACAAATTCGTTCTTGTGAGGCAAGTGCAGGTCGGGCAGACGGTTCGCGGATGTGGTCTCATACGCCTTACGGATGTCGGCCATGAAGTCCTGGGGAATATCCTCCACCTTATGCTCCGTGCCGTACCACTTCTCCTTCTGATCCCAGTCACCGGGGTAATCCTGGGCCACAATGAGCATGCGGAAGTTGTCGGGCCGAAGGTAGGACAAGGCTTCCTTGATCAAAGCCGGGTCGTACTTCCGGAGAAGTCCGGTGCTCAGCAGCCACTCTCGAGGGTGAGGCTTCTGCATCTTGCTGCTCAGGTTGCTGGCGAAGCGACTGGCGGGGGTCTTTTGTTTAAAGCGAAACTCGACCTCGGCCAAGTTCTTCATCTCATCATAGATCCACTGCTGAGGCTCACCTTCCTTGATCATAGCGATATACTCGAAGATGACTCTCGCGACTTCACGGTAATTCTTCAAACCCTCAGGGGTCAAGCGGACGTTGATGGTGAAAAAGGCCGCACCAGGGCAGATGGGGAGAGGACCAGCAGACAAGCCGTTGGCCCAACCCTTGGCCTTGATGTAAGCCAGGATACTTCCGGGACCCTCATGGCCGATCAGGTGGCTAATGTAACGGTTGGGCTGGGACTCGTAGTAGTGCTCTTCGTCCATGAAAGGGAAGTAAATGTCCAGAGACCGCATGTCCATGACCGGCTTGGCAAAGATCTGCTTTCCTAGATGCTCCGCCGTCCAGGGCTGGACGTCGTCCCAGCGATTTTGCGGAAGATCCTTGTTCTGGACGTGCGAGAACAGATCCGAGACCCACTCCTCCATCTCGTCGAGGGACTCCCGACCCAGCAAAACCAGTTTCATCCGGTTGGCTGAATAATGGGCCTCATAGAACTTGATGAATTCACTGCGAACCTCAAGGCCGCGTTTCTCCGGATCCTCCTTCAATGTCTGCAGGTTTCCAGTCGAGAAGTGGTGGTAGGGATGCGCGGGGTTGGAAAGACTCTTGTTCAGTTGCATCAACCGCCACATGTCGCTCTGCAGGTTCTTCTTGTTCTCGGAGTCCACGGCCCTCAACTCCCGGTCCAGCGTTGACTCCAAGAAAAGCGGTTCGACGAAGAACTGAGCGAACCGATCCAGGGCCCCGTGCAGGGGCCCTTTGGCTTGGGTGGCCGAGGGCGAAGTGGGCGCATCGGATTTCTCGTCGCCAGAGTGCGATGTGGCGGCCACTTCAAAGAAGTAGTTGGTCTCCGTGGCAGCGGTGTAGGCGTTGGACATGCCAGAGTTCGATGCCAAATATTGGTTGTATGCGTTCTCTAAGGGGTACTGCGGGCCATCAGCCGAGGTTAGTGCCGGACTGGCCGCATGCTGACGCCGGAATCAACCACATACCTTCTTGGTGCCCATGAACAACAAATGTTCAACGGCGTGAGCCATACCCGGCATGTCGTCTGCGTCTGAGAAATTGCCGACATTGACGTTCACGGCAGCACTGGCCTTGTCGGTATCCGGGTCGTGGACCAGTAGAGCTTCGAGCTTATTAGGGAGGCGGATGACGCGATAGGAGCGATCATCCAGCTCCGGCTTCAACAGATCCTCCGCAATGCGTTCGACAGTGCCCATCTTGGTAGAACCCATGGTGACCGGACTAGTGGCAAACGGAGCACGCGAGACGGGTGTGGAAGAGTGAAGGAGGGAAGGGCGACGATAAGTCTGTCCACCGGAGGCAAAAGATCGGACCCAGCAATGCGAGGACAAGCGTGGCGAGGGGTAGGAATGAGGGGCTACCGCCGCAAAGGTGCCTGATCGGGAAAACGAACGATAAATTGGGGTTGATAAAGATCGAGGATGTCCAGGGTTCCACAAGCGGCAGGGTGCAGAGGACCTTGGAGGCATGCAGTGCAAGGAAGGTGGTCCAAGGAGCAACGGCCGCTAACAGCTACTGTACCGGGTGAAGTATCGTTAAGGATGGGGGAGGAGGGGGAAGAGGAAAGAGGAAGGGAAGGAATATTTAAGGAAGAAGAATTTAGGGAGAGATGGGAGAAATAGAAAACACGAGCCGGTCCGATTTCAAAGACAGGCCCGTAATTGAGAGAGTCAATGCGCCAGAATGAGTAGATGTAAAGTAGGTAAGGTTTGTCAATTGATGAAGTAGTGACAAGAGAGAGAGGGAGAGGGAAGAAGGGAGTGGCAGTAAGACGCATTCATGCTTTGGCGGTGAGAGAGGCAACACTCAGGCGGTGAGAGCGGTGAGGCTTAAGTGGGCACGTGTCCCTGCAAGTGGTCGTTGCACTTTACTACAATATGTGAGTTGACTTTTCATCGGCGAGCATTCGAGAATGATCGCCCAATCACTCTTGGCTCAAACTCCTGTCTTGGTGCGAGTGGATCTAGAAGGCTTCCTCTGAGTGCTTCTTGTTCTTCCACGTCATGCTTCTGTCCCAAATGAGGGCACTCTGCAACAGCGCCGAGACCATCGCGAAACCGCCGATTCCCCAGCCGAGTGGCACTCGACGCCCTTGCAGCTGACAGCAAAATGTCCCGTATTCAGCTTGACTCGAGAAATGGCGTGCTTCTTGTACGACCACACTTCTCATGGCGCGTAGATGCTAGGCTACAAGGAAATGCCGTTGCAAACACACTGACTACTAGGTAGGTGCTAGGTACCTACTTACCCTCAGTACTGGCTATAGTAAGTAGAACCACCACTCGGAACGCCAACCGATGCCAGCCCCCGGATCTACTCTCCGAACGGAACCTCACCTTCCCAAACAATCCCCCAGATAAGATCTACAAATAACCCCGGTTTACCCAATCTCTTTCATCAACCACCTACCTCCATACCTTTGTAAAGTAGCTTGAACTACCTTACATCACAGCAACTACAACTACAAATCAAATCAGAGAAGATTACTGCCAAAATGGACGTCTCGCAGGTGCTCACCCAGCTCCCCAACACCATCCACTGCATAGATATGCACACCACCGGCGAGCCCACCCGCATCATCTACGCCGGCTACCCCCAGCTGACGGGCACGCTGCTGGCCCAACGGGACCAAGCCCGCCAGCAACACGACCACATCCGCCAGCAACTGATGCTGGAACCGCGGGGGAATCCCGCCATGTACGGGGCGATCATCTGCCCGGCGACGGAGCTGGTGGCGACGGGGGAGGCGGACGTGGGCGTGCTCTTCATCCACAACGAGGGCTACTCGACCATGTGCGGGCACGCGACGCTGGCGCTGGGCCGGTTCCTGGTCGACACGCACGACGCCAACGTCTTCCCGCGGCGCGCCCAACTCCCCTTCGACGCCACGACCCAAACCATCCAACTGAGGCTGCACGCCCCCTGCGGCGTCGTCAGCATCACCGTCCCCACCAACGCAGAGGGCACGCGATCCGACCCCACGCGGCCCGTCTCCTTCCTATCCACGCCCGCCTACGCCACGGCCCTGCAACTGACCATCCCCATCCCCGCCGCCGCGCGGTGGCCCGAACTCCCCGCCCAGCGGGACTCCATCACCCTGGCCATTAGCTACGGCGGCGCCTTCTACGCCATCGTCGACGCGGCCGAACTGGGCTTCACCAGCGGTCTGTCGACCGTCGACCTCGACGCCACCACCCGCTGCATGCAGCAGCTGAAACCGTACCTCGAACGCCGGCCGGAGATCGTCGCCGCCGTCACCCACCCGGACGACCCGCGGCTCTCGTTCCTCTACTCCGTCATGATCGTCGACGCGGCCATCGGGAGCCGACCGCGCGACGTCGCGGGCGCCGAGACCGGCCTCTGCTACTTCGCCGACAACCAGATCGACCGGTCGCCGACGGGGTCGTGCGTGACGGCGCGCATGGCCCTGGCCCACGCCAAGGGCCGCCGGGCTGTCGGCCAGCGCTGGGCGTACAACTCGCTCGTGTCGAATCACTTCCAGACGGACGAATTCCGCGCGGAGATCGTCGAGGAGCTTGCGCCGTCATCCGCTTCCGGGGGACGACCGTCCGTGGTTGTCCAAGTCGAGGGCCGAGCATTCTACACCGGGGCCGCCTCGTTCATGGTGGAAGCAGAGGACCAGACGTCCCGGACTGGATTTACGATGGAGGGAGTAGCTGCGGCGCCAGTACCATGACTATTACCATGTTCTTCTGCATAAGCTATTGAATATAAACCCTGATTGAATCACATCTTCCATTAGCCAAACCCAACCCAAACTCAACTACCAGTCTCCTTACCCCCCTTTCCCCCTCCCCCAATCAATCCCCGAAAGACTAAACCTAACACGCAGCCGCGCAAACCGTCAAAACCTCATTACTTCCCGCCTGACAAGTCTTCACCTGACTGCCACCCGGGTTCACCCCATTCGGCCAACAGATCTTGGGGCAGGACGTATCGCTGGGCTTGACACTCAGAACCGAGCCGGCGAAGGCATTCCCGAACACGCTGGACAGGTCGTACCAGGTCTTGGCGCCGTCGAGGGTGTAGGCGTAGTTCAGCTGGGGGCTGCCGTCGTACAGGCCGTCGGAGGTCTTGGTGATCTTGAGGGCGACGCCGCCGGAGGCCGGGTCGTAGTGGAGGGCCTCGGTGTAGCTGGCGCCGGGGGCGATGGTCTGGCGGGGGCCGACGGAGCCGCCGACGGACCAAAGGTAGATCGGGGTGTTGCAGTTGTTGGTGACGACGGCGTTGCCGGCGGCGGCGGTGAAGGTGGGGAGGATGAGGAGGGCGGATGCTGTGGTGAGGAGGGTGGTGGTGATGTGCATTTTTGGTGGTGGATGGATGGATGAATACCTTAGGTATACTTGGATGAGATGACTTGAGGGTATTGTGAAGCTGAATGCTGGAATTTGAGTCTTATTTAGAAGACTCCAGTGAGCATCTGGGTGGTATTTATACCCTTTGCATAAGCATCATGATATCCTCCTCGTTAAGCTAAAGTAACATCGCCTCCATCGCTGTACATCTCCCTCTCCTCCAGACCAACATCAACATCCAAGCTTAACCCCTCAAGCAATTACCTAAAATGTCTCATCTCATACCTCGATGTCTCACTCCAAGCCCAGCTCGATAGAAACAGCACACACCCCAAGTCCCCTTCCACCCCCAACCCAAGTACCAAGAACCAAGTACCAAGTACCAAGTACCGAATGGACGCCCTGTACGCGAAACCCCACATAACTCTGCTACTAGCCAAGGTAGTATACTCGCATGCACACGAGAGACATCAACCACACCACACCACCACCACCACCACCACTTATCCCAAGATACATTCCCCTTCCCAAGAAACCAAAACAAGACAAGACAAGACCATGTGATTGTCCTATATACTCACAACAAGAAAACGGGAGAAAGAGACAAAAGCCACAGCCACACCCGCAACCCCGCACCTCCAACTCCATCATCCATCCATCAACAAATGGATCAAGATCGCCATCGAACGGTATGTCTTACTTTTACCCCACAACAACTCCTGCAAGTCTTCAGTAAGTATACTACGTACATGTCCGCCCCGATGTCTCGGGAATCACCCCACCCCACCCTTCCCCAAAACCAACATACGCAGGATCTGAGTCAAAATCATATGCTACAAGGCAAGACACAAACAATCCCAAGTAACCTTAGACTGGTCGAACTTTGCCTAAACTTCGAGGTCAGAAATCTACTTGGTTGGGTTTCACTTTGCTTTTTCCAGGGTCTTCCAGGGAACAACAAGACAATATGGAAGGGAATAAGGGGGTTGGTTGGAGAGTCGGAGAATTGGACTGCGTCTCTTGGCTCGTGTTCGTTTTTTTTTTTTTTTTTCAGATGCCTTTCTGCAGGCAGGAGGATACTATATATAGAATTGAGTAGACCCTTGATCCATCCATGGCTTACAGGATTCGTGGTGGGAATCTGGGGTAAACACTGACGACAGCAGTCATAGTGTAGGTACTGGCACTGACTTTACTTTAACTGGACCACTGAGCAGGGACGGTTCGGTTACTGGATTTGATTGGAATTCTTTACCCCATCGTCAGCAGCAGCAGCAGCACTGAAAATAGGCCGTGACAGCACGTGTAGGTGGTCCAGGATCGACATATCTTAATCGCAATGCAACGCCAGGAACGAGCTGAGTTCGCTCTAAAATGTAGGTGGTGGCGTGACAAGACCCTGGAGAGGCACAGGCAACTACAAGACACTGCATCTATCACACTACCACTCCAAAATAGAGTATGCGTAGCCGATGGTCCCTTTTCCGACCTTCCAAAGACTCAACTGGTGAAACTAAGGATTTATGCATGGATTTGGTACAAGCGAACCCACTATTCCCCCCTTTCCTTACCCTTCCCCAATAACCAATATCTAGATCTAACTTCTGCGCATTCCGGAACTGAAACTCAGCTTGTACCCGGTCCACGCTGACCCTCCCCAGTAGCAGCTCCCTTGGTAGGCGACCGTCTCTTGGGCTTCTCGTCCTCGATTTCCTCGCTATCCGCCACGTCTGCACGCTCCGAGATCCACTGGTACACCTCGTTCTTGTGATGCATGAGCATCTCGCTCAGCCCCGCCTTGGGCGACTGCACGAGGAGGCCGTAGCGTTTGGAGGGCTTGCGCTGCAGACTAGTCCACACCCCGTGCGTGTGCGAGACGAATACGAGCGAATTCTTCACGAGGCTGGCTGTCAGCTCCGAGCCGAGAATCGGGGGAAAAAAGGATCTCATAATCCAAACTTACGTCTTTGTACCACCGCGAGAGCCAGACTTGGGTATGGGAGGCGACCGCACGAACAGGGTTCTCGGCCACAAAGGAGACCACTCCGTTGACACGTTTGTACAATGTCTCTGTCCCGGCGTTAGCCATGTCTCACATCCATGCACACCCCTCATCCATCTTACCGCGGTTGATTAATAGGTTGGCCACTCCGTAAAAAGCGTTGCCAATGCCAATGAAAAAGATCTCAGTCGCTTCATTTGGTCTAAAGAAACCTGTCAATCAAAGGTCTACCGCTCGGTGCGAGCGGTGTAAAGACATACTCGATATAGTTATCCCAGAGATAGCCAGCGAGCTCCTCCGTGGCGGTAGGTCTATTCTCGTCTTCATCTTCGTACTTCCCGGAAGACTGTCAAGAAGTCAGTATCCATGAGAAAGACTGAGAACATCACAAACTGACCGGATCAATAGTCACATGTTTCGGGATGTTGACGTCGATGACCGCATAACCTTTCTCCACGGCCCATCCAACATAGTCCTTCAATAAAACATCAGCCTAGTGTTTGTCAGCAGATGACGGAAACACTTCACAATCTCGACATACCAGCCAGCAATTATGAGCCTCTAATTTGTTGGTGACCGGATGAGGCAGACTCATGATCTCAGGCCTGCTCATCATCAGCAAATGATCCCCCACGTTGTCCGCGGATACTCACGGGTCATGAAAGAAGACAAGAAGAGGTTTGGCCTGGTGGTAGTTCGGGCTTGTAACCGGTCAGTCAGGATCGTATTCCATCGAGCGCTCGATTTACCTCGCAAGGACTTGATTCTCAAATGACTTCGAGATAGCAGTACGGTAGATGTAAAGGGATGTCAGTTTGTAGTTGTCATACAGCTGCTTTGACTGATAAGCACGGATGACATCTGCAGACTTGTTAGCCTCCGATCGAGCAATCCGTGAAATCCTCTTACCGTGGAGTCGATCCGTGAAGTGCCCCTCCTGTTGCGGTGCCTTCGGGTACATGCAGCTCCAATAGGCCGACTGAATCATCATCACCCGTCTCACAGTCGTTGTGGCAGCTTCAGACGGTGTGGTGGAATGCAGACGGTCTGGGGGGTCACCCATCAAAGTCTTCGTAACGGCAAGAGCAGATTTCGAAATCGACCGGAAATTGTAGCCACCCTAATAGCTCATCTTAGCCCTGGTGCTTCTATGCATTCACTGAGAGACGGTCAAACCTCCAGACAGACAGCAACCTTGCCGTTGGCAAGCGTCATAAGCATGTGTGTCATATGAGCATAACAAGCTGGTGTCACAAAACAACCTCCAAGCTCATCGCCTGCGGCAGCGTCGAATCCAGAAGCAACTATAATTGTCAGTCTCGGAGACTTGAGCCGCCAGAGGAAAGGTCGACCTACTGATGACAAGGTCTGGATTGAACTCCTGGGCAATGGGCATAACCACTTGTTGGAAAGCGTACATGTAGTCGCCATCGCCCATTCCCTGACTTGGCCACGGAATATTCACATTGCTTGTTGAATGTCAGCCACCGCCGTGATGTAAAGAAGCAGGAATGCCATACCGTCCCACACCGGCACCACCACCGCAGTGGTCCCAGTCTCCTTCATCGCCTCCGGGATAGAACTTCCCCTCTTGATAGACATGAAGCGAGATGTATAGAATGTTTGGGTCATCATAGAATGCTTTCTGAATGCCATTTCCTGCCAAGTATATAAGCTAATGCAATTCAACCCAAGTGAGAAATCAGGGCTTAGTCAAGTACCGTGATGAACGTCCCTTGAGCATGTTAGTATCACGTAAAGTACAAGTGGATGGCTAGGCTCACCAATCGAGAATCAAGATCTTCCTACAGCTCTCGCCCAGCTGCTGCTGGCAGACACGCGCTGCAACCGAGACATTATTGAACAGACAGAATCCCATAGTCTTGTCATGCTCGGCGTGATGGCCAGGGGGTCGAATCACAGCAATAGCATTCTTCACCTTGCGGGTAGCAACGGCCAAGCACGTCTCGATGGCCCCTCCCACAGACAGGATTGAAGAAGCAAAGGTGAGTTTATTGAAATAGATGGAATCGCGGGTATGTTCCAACGCAATGAGCTCATCATCCGTCATATCTGACACAGCTAGTTAGGAGACTTTCGCGCCGTTACTGCGAGCAAAGGAGGGGGGGGAGTAGGGGTATCATTACCTTGAGTGCTTTCTACAAAGGCGTAATGATCAGGCGTGTGGACAAGGGAAATCTCCTCCTCGGTAGCATTGCGAGCATTGATCCTTTTCAAAGGTCGGGATACGAGAGGTCGACTTGATTCGGGATCATCGACGAGTCCAGCTCGGCACAGCTCTTTGTATATGTAGTAGATGCGTCTTGGATCCTCCGGGTGAATGTCTGCAGTGGGCCGCACTTCGCAGTGATAACGCATCTGCACATCATAGCATAAACCTGAAGGAAGTGAGGCGAGCGGGAGGCCAGTCCGAGCGACTGCATCCCCATCGGACCAGTCAGAATTCTCTTCAACAAGACTATCATTTTTCTCGTCGTCGCCAATCACATCACCGGAGTCTACAGACTTTGGCAGGCTCTTGGGAGGAGAAATGCCGCCTTCATGCTCCGGCTTCGAAGAGGCAGAGAGAGGCTGTGAGTTGAGTGGGTGGCGCGACAAAGGCAGCTTGAATGTCTGACCCAGCAGCGGAGATGTAATCGATGGCTGAGAGGGCCCATCAAATTGGGCTGGCGCACCTGGGTTGCCCGACTCACCCATGACGGTGTCTTCGTCGCCCTCCAGTGCCATCGTGATGAGCCTGGAGCAATTTCTCTGACTTCCGCGTTGACCGAATTCCAGTTGGGCCAAATCAACACCTCATGGTCAAGCCAAGGGCGAAATAGAGGGTCTACAAATGCCCCTGGGAAAGATTAAGTGAAGTCAAAAAAGGTTAAGTCAAAATGCGGATGCAGCTTCGGAAGAGACGATCTAGCTGAGAGAGATTGTCGAATTTGTTGAGAACCAAGGCAGAAGAATGGGAGGTGTGCTTGATATCTTGGAGGGTGGCAGGATCACAAGGAACAAGGGCACTTTAGATCACTTGTACTAAGGCCCGGGGACCACAGGGAAGACCCACGAAATCGAACGACTAATGAGGCACGACTGGTGTCGTATGAGCAACGACAGGTATATGATGAGGGACAGTTTTTAAGCCAAGACTCTCCTCTGAGGTTATAATCGTGGCTGTTGGTACAGAAAAGCACCCACCGAAGCACACCAGCGGAGGCGTTCTGGACTAAGAATCTCGAATCAATGGTAGAGCTCGAAATTCCGCAGTTTAGCTGCGCTCCACGTGACCTCCGCCCTCCAAATCCCAAATCTGGCCACTTCCTCACAATTCTTCGGACTCGGACGGAAAACGCGATCAGGAGCTGAAAGGAACCTTCTGATGAGGGAGATTGAAATTGAGCAGCATAATTGTTGAATAAGAACGAACCTTCAAGCACGGTCAACAACGACTATCAACCTTGCGCTGCTCCGAGAATTTGCCGCGGTTTAGCGGAAGACAACTGGAACTTATCCTGCTCGGCGATAACAAGCTTACTGCCCGCTAGTCAACGCGTATCAAACCAAGTTACAGTCTGCCCGTGCCATCCCCACTGCATATCCGAAAGTCGATTCTTTGCTGCGATACTATTCAATGTTTGGGAAGAATTACACATCTTGTGGAAAGAAATACAACTACAATGAGAAGCCGCAAGGCCGCCAGATTTACGGGTAGAGAGAGAATTGAACAAATATGAACAGTTGTGTCATTTCATTAATAGTACGTCATCACATGCTTTTACTAAAGCGGGTTTCCATGAGAGCAAGCCGAAGCTAGGCAATTGAAGCCACGCACTCAAAGCAGGCTCTTGAGGTCCTTCCGTCCTGATTCCTACTGGCTGTCGACCTTGGCGATGTAGGCTGTACACACGGGTTAGATAGCGGCTCACAAATGCTTGACAACGATCAGTAAACTTACCAATGAGGTCAACAACACGGCGGGAGTAACCCCACTCGTTGTCGTACCAGGAGACGAGCTTGACGAAGTTGGGGTTGAGGGCGATACCGGCCTTGGCATCGAAGATGGAGGAGTGGCTGTCACCGTTCAGGTCGGAGGAGACAATGTCGTCCTCAGTGTAGCCGAGAACACCTGTTGGGTGGTCAGCAAGAGATTCAACCATAAACCACACACACGGTACTTACCCTTGAGCTCGCCCTCAGAGGCAGCCTTGAGGGTCTGCTTGATCTCGTCGTAGGTGGCAGACTTCTCGAGACGGCAGGTCAAGTCGACAACGGAAACGTTGGCGGTGGGGACACGCATGGCCATACCGGTGAGCTTGCCGTTGAGGGAAGGAATGACCTTGCCGACAGCCTTAGCAGCACCAGTGGAGCTGGGGATGATGTTCTGGGCAGCAGTACGGCCACCTCTCCAGTCCTTGCTGGAGGGGGCGTCGACAACCTTCTGGGTGGCGGTGTAGGAGTGGACGGTGGTCATGAGACCCTCAACGATACCGAACTTGTCGTTGATGACCTTGGCGAGGGGAGCAAGGCAGTTGGTGGTGCAAGAGGCGTTGGAGAGAACGTTGATGTCCTTCTTGTACTCGGTGTTGTTGACACCCATGACGAACATGGGGGCATCGGCAGAGGGAGCAGAGATGATGACCTTCTTGGCACCACCCTTCAAGTGAGCAGAGGCCTTCTCCTGGGTGGTGAAGACACCGGTGGACTCGACAACGTAGTCGGCACCCTCCTGACCCCAGGGGATGGCAGCGGGGTCACGCTCAGCGAAGAAGCGGATCTTCTTGCCGTTGACAACGAGGCCCTGCTCGTAGGTCTCGATGGTACCGTTGAACTTGCCGTGGGTGCTGTCGTACTTGAGCATGTAGGCCTACATCATGAGCATCGAGCTCGGTCAGCCAGTGACTCTTTGCTGCTGGTAGCAGATGTTGGCAACCACATACAGCATAGTGGGTCTCAATGAAGGGGTCGTTGACGGCAACAACCTCGACGTCACCAGAGTTGATGCTGTAGACAAGCTGTTAGTACCAATTGGTTCCCGGAAGACCCGGATCCATTGGAGCCGCAGTGATAACACTCACGCGTTACGGAAGACCTGGAGGAGGGTTTGTTAGAACAGCACTCATTCGCAGCAAGAGTCTCAAGGCCACTCACAATACGTCCAATACGACCGAAGCCGTTGATACCGACCTAGAATTGATTAGGTGAGTAACAGCGCGATGAATACCGAGCTCATTGCCTTCATTAGGCGTACCTTGGGAGCCATTGTGTAGATGTGTCTGTTTGGCGGGGTAGCTGGTTAGTAGAGCGCTTGGAGACGGAACGGTAGCTTGGCGGGAGGAAGCTGGAGTCTACACAGATTGGAAGAACAGGGAACGAATGGATGCTGTGGAAGAAAGAACTTACTGTTTGGATGAAATTACTTGGGGGGGAGTAAGATGGAGAGAGAAGATGATGATGGAGAGAAAGAAAGAGAGAGAGTAAGAGAAAGGAAAGAAAAGTTTCCCAACAGGCGGGGGAGGGGAAGGTAGAAAAAGGATAGCGGGACAGACAATCGACTGACGCAACGACCCGGTCACTACACCGAACAGACAGACGGGGCAAAGGCTGCGGCAAGCTCTGCCACTCTGCCACCACTACTGACCAGAAAGGTCAGAATCACCCAGAAATGCGCCAAGCTGGTCAGCGTGGGATTTGCCCTATTGATTGTCCCGACATGCGCCGCTCCCCAGTTCCCCCATAGCCTTTTCCGGTTTCATACACCGGGCAAAGCAGGAGATTCACGATATCTGGGCCTCCCAGACTTCCCACCTTTCCCCTCGGCAGCTGCCGTCTGGGCCAATGAGCGAGCTATAAAGCTATCACGCCGGGTACTCACTCCAATTCTCGAGAATCTTTTACCAGCATCGTCGGAATTACTACTTGCTCCTCTTTTCGTGATGCTGGAGAGCCTAGGTTATGAGCCAGATTGCTCCCCGGTAAAGACAGGTTATTCTCGCATCTGCGGGAATGGGCTCAGCCGAGGGTGATGCGTTGAGTGGTGTTATGATCCATGACCCATGATGTGTTAGGGTAGAAGAGGAGAGACACTGAAGGAATGATGTAACAACAGGCCACCACCCCCTGGCACGACTATACTTTCGTTGGAGTACGAGGTATCGAGCACTCAGACAACCTCACACACTCACTCACTCATCCACCACCATCAACCCCAATAACCCCAACTGAAAGGAGATACCGGGTGCCCGCAATCGGTCCCATCCATGATCTTACTAAGATTTGCCGCATCCAGCTTCGGCCCGCTTGGATTGCTCGGTTCGGGCTTATGATGATCCTCACCCCCCTTCTCCCCCCCTCTTGGCAATCGTGCCCCTCCATCTCTTTTATCCGCCCTGGCTGGACCATTGCCTGGGACGCTGAAAGCGGGCCTGGGGAGAGCTTCAACTGGACTTTGACACCGAGGGTGCCTGAAAAGATTCACCGGCGACCATGTCAACCATCACGCGCTGGGTCCCAGATTGAATTTTTCTTTTTCTCTTTTTTTTTTCTTTTGACGGGCTTTGATTCTTCTGTGATTAGTGGAAGACTGCACAGGCTCTGCCGCTCTGTGCGAAACCATTATATCCAATTGCAATGCAAAGAAAGAAATCATGACACTCAACAGTTCGACCAGCAGCAGCAGTGATGACACACAGTTGTCGAGTCATCAATGGAGCATAGCATGATCTACGAGTAACTACAATGAAAGGATTAGAAATACAGAATCAGCCTCCGGATGCGAATTTCTGGTGCCCTGGATCCGGAGTAAGGCCTCAGGCAGGCGGATAGTCCGGCAGTCATAGCGAACGGAGGAACCCCCTTCGCTTCTATAATCGGGGTCTGACTCCAGTCTCCACATATGAGCACATCCAAATCCGTCTTTACCGCCATCCCTGCTGCAGGTGACAGGTTTGCGGATTTGCGGGATTATTTCACTCAGCTTGCAAATAGAAATAGCATCCTGTTCAAGGATACAGGCCAATTCGGTCATAGTCGGCGAAGTAATCATCGACTCCATCGCCACTTCGTCATTCATATGCCTCGATTATGAAGGCGTCTGCTTAGTATTTTGAAGCAGATACATGCACATGAGTTCACAAATAGGCAGGAGGATAGCATGCTTACCAACGAAGTTACCAATAACTTGACTACGAAAACAAGAAAAAAAGAAAAGAATATCGTAAACCCATCGCACTAACATTAAAAGTGAAGATCAAAGCAAAGCAGCAGCAACGCAGCTCGACTCGACTCCGCTCCAATGGCAAGGCATCTATAAAATACAAGAGGTACAAAACATGTGCGATCTACTCGCGCGTCTGTTACCCAAGGCCTCTCGATCTACTCCTCCTTGACACCACCCCGCCAGTTCTTCTCGGCGCTCTCGACTGAAGCCTTGTCGGTCTTGACCTGGCCCTGGTTCATGAAGCTGTTGCCAGACTTGAAAGGGCGCTGAAGGTCACCGGTAGCAGGCTTGCCGAAGATGTGAATCTTGACCAGGTTGGATTCAAAGGCACTCTTGAGAGGAATGATCGACTGGATCAAGAGGGGGTTGGTGTACTTGAAGTAGAGGTGCATCACACCCATCATGCCGACTCCCATGAGTTGTCCACGGATCAGCTGGCGCAGCTGTCCCTTGTCGTACTCAGCGTTGGTGGTAGTCACCGGGCGAGGCTCCTCGTTGCTACCCATGGGAGCAGGCTCGACATACTTGAGCGTAGTCAAGTCTGGGAATTGATTAGTGAAGATTTATCGTCATTCCGCCCACTCCAGACATACCATTCTTTTTGTTGATCTTGGCCTGAGTGTACAAGTAGAGACCCAGGATGATCACGTTGGACAAGATGTACATGCAACGAACAAGAAGGAGGACATCGGGGTTCTCGAAGGGAACCTTCTTGGCCAGCTGCATCATCACCACGATGATGGCGAGGTTGGTACTGCGACAAGGAATACGCTGTCAGTGATGCCATTTTCGGGAGGTGACAACGATTTTTGCTTCGACTCTGGAGAGAAAGGCTTCGAAAGGACTCACACTTGAGGGGACACCATCTTGACGGATTGAGCGGCAGTGCTGAGGCCTAAGGGGACCCTTTGAAGATGAGGAGCAGTGCGCGATGGGGTGAAACAAAGATGGAGACACGCGTGCAAGGACAGAAACTTCCTAAACTGCGGAACTGGAGCCCCGGGAAAGTGTGCCAGCTGTCCTGATAGCGTACTGTCACGTGGTCAAGATTTGCCACTATCGGTATAGCGCTATCTATTCCACACGCGACCCAGATAACGTCAGCGATAAGCAGAGCTGTTGGGGCCTTAAGGGCCTTAAGGCACCGAGTTAGCCCATCTGGTTGGCAAGCGCACTTAGAGATCACCTGTTCTGATTATGTAACCAGTCCAGCGACCATCATGCTCTGCACACTCTCCTACCAACCTCAACTGTGTCTCTACATACAGTCAAGAAACCTCCACCCTGCACCATCTGATGCAGCTCGAGACTCTTCGACATGAAGAACAATCTGGAGAGATGCTATCCAGCGCAATGACTTTCTCTGACGAAAGTGGCGCCTTGGACCATCGCTGCATCAAGACTTGAATGACTCGATCCAGCGGTGGTATAGACACTTCAATGACTAACCTCCCCAGACTGTCTGTTTGGTTGCTGATTGCAGAGCGAGCCTTACCTCGTGCTTCTGCAAATACTCTTCAGAATCTATAGCGGCATCCAGAACCATGCTCTTTGGTGAGGCCAGCCGACTGGCATACTCTATGCTGATCGAGACCTCTCCGTGGTAGGCAGCTGAGCAGGTTCCTCAATCGGGACTAGCGTCGCTCCACGTTCGACGCCCGTCTTTAGCGACCAGGATGGCTTTGACATTTCTGACTCCTTCAACCATCAACAACGCGCGTGCTTGAGGTGCATCGGATCGCTACAACATCCACCATCGCACTCCACCCCTTTTAATCCTCGATTGACGCGACATTTTGATCCTTCCGGTCCCACCCCTCGAAACTATTCACGATGCCTGGCGGAAAGGGAAAGTCCATCGGTGGAAAGGGTGGCTCCAAGGACTCTGCGGGGAAGAGCCAGAAGTCTCACAGCGCAAAGGCCGGTCTGCAGGTCCGTAATTTCAGTCTCTTTCTTCCTTCCTCCTGGCAGTGGCGTTGGTCGCGGCGTTAATCGGCAAGTCGCGGGAACGCGTGGTTGTGGCAGCTGTAATGGGAATTTTTTCCCTCTGCCCCTCATGCATGCTGTCTCCTTGACTTCTGTCTATACTTGGTCTGCTCTCTGATTCAGATGGTCGCTTGTATATTCATGGCTCACAAGCGCGCTGGCCGTTTCCGTGCGAAGCCAGAAACCCGATCATCCGCGCCTTGAATCCCCCTCCTACCCCCCTCCCTCGATTCTGACTTTTGGACCCCAACATGCATTTATCTATTGCTCTTGCCTTGAACCCGTAAACTGACATCTAGTTGTTAAGTTCCCTTGTGGACGTGTTAAGCGTTTCTTGAAGAACAACACACAGAACAAGATGCGCGTTGGTGCCAAGGGTATGCCCATCTGTCGCAGAGTGTCCTCTTCACTGCTGCTAAAGACTCCCATCTCCTCCAAAAAGTTGCTGACAAATACCGCCCACAGCTGCTGTCTATGTCACTGCCGTCCTCGAATACTTGACCGCCGAAGTCCTCGAACTTGCCGGAAACGCCGCCAAGGATCTGAAGGTCAAGCGTATCACGCCCCGTCACTTGCAGCTCGCGATCCGTGGAGACGAGGAACTGGATACTCTCATCCGTGCTACGATTGCCTTCGGTGGTGTTCTGCCACGCATCAACCGCGCACTGCTGCTGAAGGTCGAACAGAAGAAGAAAAGCAAGACTGACGCTTGAACCCTTTTAACGGCGGACCGGATACCCGACGAACAAACGGCGTTTCGATAATGATGAATTCAAATCCGGGGGATGAATTAAGCCCGTTCTTCTATGCCTTTGGTCTTCACCTCGCTTTTGGCCCTTGGCCAACATGATCCAAGGATCTTGAGGAGTGGATGAAACGGGCACATTTTCTTAACCTCCCCCGGCAAGCTACCCGTTCGAAATGTTTCTTTAGCTCTGTTTGTCTCTTTCTGCTTTCTTTCATGTGCTTATCCCCCCGACATTTTTTTTCTATCCTTGTCTCCACTTAAACTTCTTGTTTTCATTTCTATCCAGGGCGCTGTAATGGGAAAAAGGGAATATCTCGGCAGTCGGTTTTATTTTATTGACTATTCTTCTCGTGTTACTGCCGTTGACGTGTCTATCTATCTTTCTCCATGTCTCCTTATAATCTACTATGAAATGGTGTTGTTTGTGCTCTGACTGCACTTGACGAGACTGATTCGGATATATCTCCTCTTGTCACATGATAAGACAGTTTGACTTTTGGTTTTGGTTAGAATTGTAGAACAGGCTGACTATTCTTGGAGAGATCGGTGTGTTTGAGAGTAATTGACAGTAGATCAAGACATCCATCAATGCCCAACCCTTTTCAAAGGCCGGGTTTCTCGCAATGAGTAGACCTATACACATTGGAGACGAGTGTCACTGCATCCCAGTCATCTGTATTAAGTAACGGGGACCCAAATAACTGTAGTCTGGAAGGGAAAACGGAACGAACCTTTCACTCAAATGATGGACGACAAAGAAACAAATGCAGATCCGGGAGCATCGAGTCCGGTAGGTCCTGTGCAGGAAATATGTAATCATAAGCTTGAACTTCTCTTTCACTAATCGACCCAACCAAGCACGCAGCACGGGACAGCGCAGAACACCATCATTGCCATTCCTCAACAACTATATCTCCGTCGCCACTGTGATCTAGATAGAGAGGGAGGGAGCCAGGCATTGGTGTACAGATGGTCAATTGAAGTTTGGTTTTGAGTAGTTACAAAGCGTGGAATACGCTGGGACTACAGGCCAAAGATAGTGCAGGCCGTGTTCCACAAGTGCATAACACAAGGCCCTTTCGATACCTCGAATCTTACCTCTTGATGGCTAAAACATTAGAGAAATTGAGTACATCTGGAGGTAAAAGAACGATACAGTGATGAATAACCTTTTCCATGTCAAACAGACAATAGACCCCGAAAATCAAAAGGCAATCAATACATTACACCCCATTACTCGACAGTCTAGTAGTAGCAGAGACGGAGTAAATAAGAGAAAAAGGTCAATAGCTGATACACAGTACACGTACAAAGTTCATGTCGATCATATTTCGAGGGAAAAAAAAAAACAAACCCATCCACACATCGGTTGAGACTGTTGCCCTGGTATCGGAAAAAAAAAGACAACGGCCAAGCAGAACTCTTCAGCAGATAGCAAAGAATGCAAGCACCCGTCACGAACTGTTCTTCTCTCTCACACCGAAGACTGGAAACCATTGCATGCATCGGGATTTAGGCGTTCCGCCTCAACAATGCGCCCTCTGCCCGGAAGATGTCCATGCGATAAGATTCCTCAAACGATGGTGACTGGATTACAAATGCACAAACAAGCCCTCAGATATAAGAGCCCGGTCAAAGGGAACGGTCCAGGCATCAGGCGCAACGCAGATGCAAATGCAGCCTTGTGAGAGAGACCGGCCCAATGAGCATCGGCCACACCACATGCGTGCCTAGACCTGAATAAGAAAGAGTCGAGAACAAGGATTGCCACAAAGAGCGAAAGAAAGGGGAGCAAAGGATAGAAGTGAGAGAAAAAAACATTAATTGATGCAGATCGCCCCATATACAAACAGATAAACAAACAAGAAAAGAAATAGATAGTGAAGATGCAAATGCTGGTAGGTCATCATCTCTCTTGCCAATATAACAGACATCGGAGTTCTTTTTCTTTTCTGTGGTCGTCCTTCGTAGTCTTCTTTCCCTCGAGAATAAAATGAGATTTTATCTTGCTTTCCGCCGACCCAACTTGATCGAGCTTCAGGGGTCATGAGATCTGAATAGATAGTGATGATTCTGCATGCAAGGCGCCCGCGTCTCAAAAGTTCAGAGATTTCTTTTTTCTGATGTGATTTTTTTCCGCGCAGCAAGGAGAAAACATAAAGAGTCCGTTCAAACAGCGTGCCTGCTGGGCTGCCCCAAAAATAACGTCTAAACTTGGCTAGATCAGAGAAATATTCTTTTGTGGTTCTCTCGGTAGAGTGTCATCTCGTCATCCCTCATCGAATCGTAAGCCAATAATCGCAGAACAGGATCAGGCCTCGTGATATAAGAGTCGTATGCATCTTGCGGCAAAGCAATCTAACAAGTTTCGTCGTCTTCGTCTCCCATCAATTGATTTTACTCCACAATAATTTCCACTCCGGAGCTGGTGCGCAACTCATCACTCCCACGCGTTTGGTGTCCGGTCGGGCGTCGAAATCCTGGACCTTTCTCGGGCATCGGGCCTCGCGGCTGTCTAATGGGCATGCGCTCCTGTGACTGTCCGTCAAATCCAACTCCGATGGATCGGTTACTACCAATGGGACCAGCGCTGGAGGGCTGACTTTCCGGCTGCTCCCAAGAAAACATACCCCTCAATCTCCGCGGGCTCGCGTTAGGCCCTCCAATCCCAGTTCCCAAAGAAAGACTGCTCAGGCTGTTCACCAACAGGCTGTCGTCACGCTGCATGCCGAGAGAGGAGCCGGACGGGGCGGACGTCAGGGTAGGGGTGTTGGACGTGCCGCTGGCGGTGCCGTCATAGTGCTGAAGACGTGCGCCGTTGGACTGCAAGGCGGCAGGGAAGCTCGCAGAGGAGGGCACGGGCGAGGGGGTGTAAGAGCGCAAGTCGGCAAACGATTTCGCCGCCCGCAGGTTCTGTGTGTTCCCGAAGTTGCCGGGGGAGTCCAAGACTCCGAGAAAGCCAGATGGCTGTCCGCGCAGGGTGTTGAAAGGGGTGGGTCCGTCGCCCCGAGACTCACTGAAATCAATGGTGGCTGCGCGGTTGAGTCCCCGACGTGCCGTTTCGACCGGCTGGACTGGTGCAGGAATAGACGACATGGGCGGGCTCACATTAGTACCGGGTGCAACCTTGAA